TAAGTAGTGGACTCCGGGCCCGGGAGGCTGATGAGCAATAGACAAATTATCAATCAAGGCAATTCTTCATCTTGTAGAATACACACATTTTATCCTCTGATCCAAGAAGCTATTCTTATTTTATTTGCTTGAGACAATGATAGCACAGGAATGCCCCTTCCCCCTAGAGACTGAGTTTGATAACTTTGGACCATCCAGGATGCTGTAGGTCACCACACAGAATTTGCATGCCACTGTCTCTTTGGGAACCATCTGAACACCCTCTGGATAAACAGGAAGTATCTGATGGGCTGATGGTCATAGTGCACAAAGGCACTGTACCAAATTATATAAATATTCCATTAAAGAAATGATAACAAGTTTACAAAGAACAACATTCTGGGGCTGGGGATGAGCTCAGTTGGTAGAGAGCTTGCCTCCATGCACAAGGCCCTGGGTTCAATCCCCAAATCCCCAGCACCACAAAAACAAACAAACAAACAAACAAACAAAAACAGGAACAACATTCTTTAAGTAACTCCATGGTAAAGAAACAATGAAAAAATATGGAGAAAAAAGAGGGCAGATGCAATGTCAATCATCTGTAGATCTTACAACAAGACATGACCAAGAGATCTTACAGAGAGATTCTACTTTAAAAGATCTTATTTTTAATCCTGTAAGAAAATTTAAATTCTGCTAGACAGTATCAGACTTTTCTGGGAGTCGTTTATTTCATACACGTAAAAGTAAAAAGGACCAGCCAAACTATTATTTTGGGCTGGACTTGCACTAAATTAAGTCTCTTTTGAATAGCACTAACGATCTTTTAGGGATAAACATTTGAATTTTACTGGTTTAGCAGTGGCAAGAACAATCACGAGGATGTCTGTAGATAGACTGAAGCCCTGAAGTTAAGACTGTTGCTCAGGTGAAGCAGGGAGGGTACCCTCGGATCAGAAATAAGCCCCATGAGAAGGTGTCCTGGTGGCAGGGTTCCCCCACCCCCAATCCGCCTGGCGCTGAACAGGTGGCCTAGGGCGTCTGGGTCATCCTCAGCTGTCTGGGCCCCGGAGGCGGAGCTCTGGGGGGCGCGGGGTTGGGGGAGGGACACCTTGTTCCTTTATCTCTGGGAGGAGGGACTGCCTGGGAATTAAGTGTGACAGTGGCCCTACTCGCTGCTGCCATGGAGCAGATGCGCACTGCTGCTCGCCTGCAGAGGATTTTGGGGCACCTTGGCGGTTCCTCGGTT